GGCTAGTACAGCTTATGCAAACTTTGTACACACGTCTCGCTCGCATCGTCCAGCCGGCGGACAGGGACTGGCACAGGCACAGGCACAGGCACAGGCTGGACAGGCGATCCAGTCGCGGTGCTCGTCTGATCCGTCGATGTCGTCGAGGCGCAAACCCGTTCGCCTCTACCCCGCGTTGTCCCTGGCAGCCAGTCAGCCTTGTTATTGATTCACTTGTTGCAGTTGTTGTTGTTGTTGTTGTTGTTGTTATTGCTCTTGTTACTGCGGCTAAACAAACTTGCAACGAGCAATGCGAGATGCTCGCAACTGGCTGCAACTGCAGTTGTATTCATAAATAACGCTTGAAAAATGTTTGCATTGGTCCAGTATTTTCCTCTTTTTCGGTTTTTTCTTTGCTTTTTGTATGTGAGGCCGAAACTTATTATCAATTGCTTCGATGCGCCGCCGCAATAAACATGAAAATGTGCTTTATATGAGCTGCGCATTGCGAGAAGCGGCATGTGGTCCATAACGGTACAAGCAGAGCTACAAGTGACGCTACAAGACAATTATGTTATGGGGGAGTCGTCCGGCTGGTTAATGTGATCTCATATACTATACAGAGCAGCAGTTATGCAAAGGTTGAAGCATGTGATTTAATCCGTGAAATGTGTTCTTAATTAATCAAAGTCTTGGCAAATGTGTGACATCTTTCATGTGTGCTTGTCGCTGATGAACTTGAAATCGGATTACGATCGTGGAAAAAGGACCTGAGGTCGCCTAGCAGAAAGGCTTGTTGTAAAGCTCTGTTTCCAACTTAAGAACTGCTTAGAATATGGCTTAAGTAGATACCATAGATAGGTCACAGCTGCTCCATGGACACATCTATAGACATCGCAAATATAAACTTTTAATCAGCCTTAAAGCTGCTCTGACTTGTTAAGGACTTGCCAAAGATCTTATGTATAAGCTAAAGTCAGCTAACCCTGCCAAAGACATCATAACAAAGCTCTTATAGATAGATCATGCAGTCAGCTAAAGCGAATTTAAGGCAAATGCCAATGATACAACCAGGAGCTTCTATATAGACGGTCAGACTTCCTTCCAACGCCAATGATATAACCAAGAGCTTCTATATAGACAGTAAGCTCTTATATATAGATCAAACAGTCAGATAAATCGAATTTAAGGCAAATGCTGCCAATAATACAACCAGGAGCTTCTATATAGACGGTCAGGCTTCCTTCCAGGCAGTCAGCCTGCCTTCCAGCCAATTTATATGCTTATTTACGCCTTCCACATAACATAAAAGTCAAAATGCCCTGCCTAAACCATATCCTGCACAATTAAAATAGCAAGTCAATCGATATGCCCGCCAGAGCGTTAAGTCCACACGAATAAAAAAGATATGAAACTTGAGATCCATTGAGTACGCAATCAGGGGCAGAGCTGCGACTGTAATTGCTATGAAACCTGCTTTCGATAGCAACTAAAATAAGACTTAAGTCAGTTATCGGGCTTAATTATCAGATCATCATAAAACTGGACAACAGTGGCTAGACAAATGTGCGATAAACAGCGCAAGAAGGTAGCACCCCATGCGGCTGCGGGGCAGCACACATAAAACTCACACATGGATGTTGACCATAACGGATTGTGGATGCCACTGTGGCATATGACGGCTGCTGCTGGAGAAGGTCGCCAAGCGTACAGCACTTCCATTAGCCAGGGCATTGGTCAGGCAGGCAACCCACTGTGTGGCGTACTAGGTGGCTCCTCACATACTGCTGACTGCTGACTGCTGACTCCTTGTTCGTTGCATGCTGCAGCATGTGGCATGCTGTTTGCTAGACTGTTGCAATGTCGCTTGATTGACAGCCAACAAGCCAAATGCATTTCAATTAAACGCTAACCGCTACAAATATTTCCATTTGTGCGAGCTGGTCAAGTGGCAGCCGCAGCTAAACTTCTGCTGCATCGCTAAGAACCGCTTCTTATGCGCGCTCGGCGCTTAAGAAGGGGTATATTGGTTCTTGTGCATATTTGCGTGGGTATGTAGCGAGAATATTGAAGGCGTAAGACCCCTATGACCCCTATAATCCTGTATAACTTCATGGAATATAAAGATTTAGATCTGATGACTTCAAGTCTTCAAATGTCTTAAGATTGAAGACAAGCGATGAATCAGAGCGTGTTGGAATGACCGAATTTTGGGGAACAATAATAATATATAACAAATTAATAATTTGTATATTAAATGTTTTTGATTTAATGCTGAAGGCGGACTACAGCAGACACCACTTGGTCAAGATTAAAAATGATTTCCTGCTAAGAAAAATGATCTCCTACGACGACCTCCTACAAAGCTATAGACCTAAGCCAATTTTATAGTCCGATCACTAATGGTATTCGTTGAAGATCTTGCAAAGGCAGCTTATGTTTGATATATTTCAGAAGTGAAGATCTATAGATAAAAGATATACCAATGAGTTCCATTGAGAACTGTCTTCACGACAGTTCGAATAGACATGCTCTAAAGTCTTGTCTCTTGTCTTTTGTTTAGCGAACGAGCATTGTGCAGTTGTTTGCTGAGCTTGCTACTGCAACGTTTCCTACTCGTTGCCACTGCTTTGTTGCCGCATTTTCGTGGCTAGACGCGCGAAGCCGCCTTTGAGTACAATTCTGTAGCAGAGCGGTCAACTGCTCATCAGTATGCTGTATAAATTAGAGCATCAAACGGCGCTTTGCCAACTCGGAACTGGTCTATACTGTTATTGGCTCTATCGAAACAGATGCATGGCCAGTATATCCAGCTTCGAGTGTGCGTGTGTAGAGCTGTTGAGTGTGCTCTGTGTGTGTGCCACAAGCACGCTTGCAGCTCAGTGAAGAGTTCAATGCTGCTGCTGCTGCTGCTGCTGCTGCAATTGCTGTTTGTTGCTGTCTGTAGCAGCAATTGTTGCAGCCGCGAGGCTAACGATGTGCTCTGCACTTGTGCATATATTGTTGTTAAATTGATATCAATTTGGTTTAATGCCGCTACCATTATGAGGCCATTAAATTGTTAGGCCTGGTCAATGTTAAATAAAACACTTTATTAGTTCCCCCTCCAGCTGCAGGAGTCAACAGTCTCGCGTCCATTGGCGCGTGTTATGCGAACTTCCACAAACATTGCAGCATAATAACTATACCCTGTAGCTAATTAGAAGTGGGGTGACTCAGCTGACAAATGTGAAACTTATCTGCAAGAAGAAGGGGCCTCAGTTATGCCAATGTCTGGGAGGTGTGGCAGGGTCGCTTACTTTTTGCAATTCCAAATTTTGCTGTTTATGAATCCAGCTATTTCTTATAGAACAAGTGCAAGCAACAAATATAACCCAGATCTCTAAAAAGGGGTCTTGGCTTGTGATGCCATTCTTGCTCCATCTAACTACCTTTCCATCCATATCTGCTTCGATCTTCACATTCAGTTCAAGCACATAGTTTTCAGACCACCCTCGCTATGCTAGAGCGTTTGTCGCTGCACAGGTCGATCGCTTCCTTGAATTTTTATGACAACACCTGGGAGTAGCTGCAACTAGACAAACATACTCAACGGCTATCGACGAGGTCTATTGCTATTTTGGCTGGTCATTTGAGTGCTCCGTTAGACGCCTGCAACTCGTTTAAGAACCTGTATAAACCTGTACGTAAGCTGAAACACGCGACAATCCTGACTAAAACGAATAAACTCCTCTTCCTACACTAAAAAACTTGCTTTAAATCTCCGGCAGAGCGAGTTTTTCTCTTTTTTCATATTTCTCGACAGGCGCAAATTAAGTCATCAATCATATTGTAATGCTCATATATATGCATATTTACACAAATTTTGTTGTTTATGAAATCATAAATAAAGTATATGGAAAGAAGAAGAAGAAGTAGTTCGAGCCTCGCAACGGAAGTGCCAAAGTTTATGAGCTGTTCGGTGGCAAGTTGATTGAACTTTTCTTTATTTATTTATTTTATTTTATATGATTTTATTTCGGTTTTGCTTTTGTTTTTGCTGCCATGTTTTGCTATACGCTTCAAAAATTGTGAATAAATAAAATTTAACATGAATTTTAGTTGATATCATTTTTTCTTTCTGTCTCTGTTTTATTGTCAGTTAATGATGCTGATGATCTAATGGGTTTCCAAGTCACGCGAAAAATGTCCAGCCAACTATTCATTGAGTGGGTTCATTGCACGCTTTCATATGCTTCAGCATATAGATATCAAATATCATATCATATAGATTATATACTTCATATACCATTTTAGTACTCGAGTACTTTAACAATTCTATGTGCTCTATTATATGAAACTGTTTAGCAAATGACTAATCAATCACATGGTGGGTATTTTTCATAATTTAAAATGGGGTATATTAGTTATATGACATGTCTTGCAGTTGCTGTTATATAAGAGAATAATTTCTGAATATTTATCAAAATTTCTGATTTTTTTTTTATTATAATGCTGTATGAAAAGGCAAGTAAGTCACTTATTTTATATGGGCTTAATTCATATGAAGATAGAGCGATTCTTAGTCAAGACTTGTAAGCAGTCTGCTGTTAAAATAATTCAATAAACCCTACCAAACTGAGAGACATTTTAAAATAATTTTATGCCAATTAAGACTGCACTGCTATAATTTCCCTAGAAGCACTTAATCCATGTAAAGGAGTCGGAAATAATCATCAACCTTGAAGCGTTCCCTAGTTAAATGCACAATCATAAGATCTAGGCAATTTTTCTGCTACAATTAAACGAGTAATTAAAATAGGCCTTAGCCCACTGAAAGCCTCGTTGGATCTGTTTGTGGCTGAGTCAAACGCCTACAATGGACAATTACTTGCAATTTCCTTAAGGCTTAAGGCTTCGTCTATTTAGATGCAAGAGCTGATTGCGATTTGCGGCACATGTTGCTAATCATAGGTCTTGTTTGCTAAACGGTGTAGCCGACTCGTAAATATTGTAATTGGAATCCTGCATGGCCAATCAATTGGCACATATATAAGGCAGAGATATAGATGGAGCAGAGCTCAATTGCCGTTGAGAGTTCTTGTGGCCAGACACAGTTAGAGCGCCAAGACACGATGGCCAATGGGGATCTGAAGGCATATCTCGGCCTGCTGAGCGGCTTCTTTAACGAATATCGAACGGTTCTTAGGCAAAAATCGCAGCCACCGCCACGCCTTGCCTTGAACTACAATCGTGCGTTTTTGGTGTATGGCTGAATGAAAATTATGGCTCAAAGTGTTGACCGAAAAAAGAGACGAACAAATTTGAACTAATTCGCTGTATTTTCCAGTTTATTGGGCCTCTATCCGAATCGCTGGCTGCTGGGCAAATACAGCCACTACAAACGCTGCAATCGTTTACTCTTGGCTAATTCGACTTCTCTTCTCTTGCCGATTATATTTGCCATGCATGAGTCGACGAATGTTGTTGATATGGGCGAAGATATGGCCTGGATAATTGGGGTTAGCTATACCAACACTAACTTTATCAGCCACATAACCTTGAAGTCTACTGTCCCCCACAGATAAGTCTGATTGTAACCAAGAACTTATACGTCTGTTGGCGTGCCAATCAAATCGATGAATTAATTGAGGATTTCAATTATTATGAACGCTGCTTTAGGCCAACTCAGAGCAGGCAGCTAGCTGAGCTTGAATCGGATAATGTGGAAATACGTCGCTGGCAGCGTTTGTGCTATTTGGTCGAAACGACCATGAATTTTGCCTTGATTGTCTTTATGGTTATCTTCAATGTGGCCATTTGCGTTCAGCCTTTGTTTTCAGAACGAGATTTGCCCTATCATGCGGTTTTTCCCTTTGGCTGGCACAACTCCGTAGAGCATCCACGCGCGCATATGCTCATCTACATTTGGCAAGCGCTCACCTCGCAGTTCAATCTGTTGGCCATCTGCCAGATTGATACCCTGGGCATACACAACTTTCTGCACACTGCACTCAATCTGAAGATACTCTGCCTGGAGATGCACAAGCTGGGCAAATTGCAGTTGACCGATTTACAATTTCATGCGGAGTTTCGAAGGATTATTCAATTCCATCAGCATCTAATAAGGTGGGTATGGCCCAAGAGTAAATAGAATTAGTTCTGGTAGCTGCTTAAGATAAGGGTATACACAAGTACATATTCAATGGTTCGAGTATCTCGATTCAATCTTAGTTTAAAAATCTCTCCAGCAAGTCGAAACAGAGTTCAGTATTAATCTATATCTAACTGTCTTCCATAGCACTGTGCAGAAGAACAATGGTCTGTTCCATGGCACTTTCATAGCTCAAATGATCGCCAGCTTTGCTTTGATATCGATGTCCACCTTTGAGGCCATGGCTGCTGCAGGCGATCCCAAGATGGCAGCCAAGTTTCTGATCTTCATGTTCGTTACATTTGTGCAGTTGTCCTATTGGTGTCTAGCTGGCACTCTGGTCCACACTCAGGTGGGTTTTAGCTCTAACTATATGCCTTATCTCGATTATAATGTTAAGTATTTGTTTATCAGTCTACAGACGTGGCTCAGGCTGCCTTTGAGCTGAAGGACTGGCATACCAGGTCAGTTTTTATACAACGTAATATTCTATTTATGATCAAGCGATCTCAGAAGCCTTTGCTCTATGCGGCAAAGCCATTTCCGCCCTTTACTCTGGCCACCTACTCAATTGTAAGTCAAGTGCGTATTACTTAAATAGATCTCAGAGAATATAGAACCTTTATCTTTTGCAGATACTTCAGCAGTGCTATAGAATTTTGGCTCTGCTGCGTGAGGCCATGTAAAAGTTTCAAGTCATTAAAATAATATTTTAATATCATGAAAAATCTTGGATATATATATAAATATAAATAAATATATATATATATATAAATATTCATATTTAATAATATTCATATATATAATAGTTCACAGTTGATCTAGTCAAACCAATTTGCAACGGCCTTTTACTATACTCTTCCTTATTCAATGCTACTCTGTTTGTGCTGCAGGGTATCTACTAGCCGGATACTCCCGACAAGGAGCATCTTTGTTGTCTATCAAATATGTATAATTATGACAAGGCCAACACCTTGAATTGACAGCAAGAAGTGGATGCAAGAAGTGTGCCAAATGTCTGATAAAATTTTTGCCATGCAGATTAGTCGCCTGACAGGTAGCACAGGTGGGAAATCAATTTGGAGAAAAGATAATCAAACCTGACACTGTGCTTGAAGGCAAACGAAGATCAAGCTTGACAACTTGCGAGGTGGGAATTTAACAGCAGCTTAACCTCACGCTAGAGAGTGGCAAAATTTACCAGCTACTCAGCATCATTGTAAAGTGCCCACCAAATGAAACATGGAACCAATTTATTGTTAAGTGGAAGGGCTTGAAGTGCAGTCAATGCATTTGCATGACATGCCACGCCCTACACACCAGCTACACACACCCCACACACACCCAGCGACAGGTGCAAGCTGCAAAGCGCATAATATTTAAATAATTCTGCAATTGACGATGACCGCTGCTGGGCTAAGAGAGTGTGTGTACTCTCCAGCCTCGAACTTATTCAGACGTGAAGCGCATTCACAGTCAACTCTATGTATATATATATAGAGCTTCGATCTGGCAGACAATGAAGCGCGGGCGCAGCAAACGTTTAGCTGCTGGCTTTTGGAGCAGCGCGCTTGCCCTTCACACAAGCTGGGAAAGTAGTTGAACCCGAATGTTGTTCATGAATTTGGAAGCATATATAGTATATAGTACCTATACCTATATATATATCTATATATCTTTGTATGTGTGTGCTACGCCCACAGGTGTCATTATGGTCAGCGTTCAATGTGCGGCCTGCACATTGGGCCAGAACGTTTTGCTGTATCGAGGCAGCACTGCGACGCACACTCACACCTGTGCAACACACCCAAACAGCTCGCCTAAAGGTGTGCGTGTGTGTCCATTGTCAACTCTGCTCTGATGGAGTTTTGTGCGCTGATTAACATTTGAATTGAAATTTACAACAAAAAAAAGCAAAATTATTTAGAACTTTATGTTCGCTTTTTAGTTTTTGTTGTTGTTGTCTCCACATCTAATTAATTCCTCTTTGGAACCATTGTTAGCTGTGGAGTTGCTGCTGCCACCCCCGCCCGCCGGCTAATGTTAATGGTACATTGAGGTAATGTACCGATCCAATTGCAGCCACAGCCCAAAGCCAAAGCGACCAACGAATTTAGTTTGTCGCAAATAATTCTAACGATCGGTCGAGTTTTTTGGTCGTGCGTCCCCCGGAGTTAAACTCTGATTAAGTGTTAAGTGATTTATTAAATAGAAAATTTAAAACATTCCAAGATCCTTCGGGCTTAAGCAAAGGTGTGTGGTCAAATATTTAATGAAAATAGTCGGCTATATGAAATATAGTCGGCTAGGATCTGCTAAGGATCAGAGACATGTATAGCAAATATTTATGGTTCGATTTAGCTATAAAGAAAGTTTAACTAAGCTTATTAAAATTAAAAGCAATTTCACTAAAACTTGTGTGATAAACATGTTGCAAGTTAGATCCTAAAAATTTGTGTACAAAAATCAGTTTTAAATGCAAAAAATAATAAAAGTTTTAAATATGTAAATTTTGTTAATTATTCGTATATTAAATAAAAAAAATAATGAATTAACTAAAATAAAATTTAAATAGTCTTAATAACAAACAAATATAAAAAATATTATTTAAAACATAATGAAAAACTAAATTATTTATAGTAAATATTAAATAATAAAATATTTAAATAATAAACGATTAAATAATAAAATATGGAAAAAATTGTAAATGAAGTGATAAAAACTTAAATAATAAAAAAATTAAAAAATTAAATAATAATAAATAATAAAAGAAAAAAATAAATCATATAAAGTAAATATTACAATAATAAAATAATTAAAGAATAAAATATTAAAAAAAGTTAATGTAATAATAAGTAATAAAAAGAGAAAAAATAAATTATATAAAAAATTCACTATAAAACAAGTTTAAACTAAATAATAAAATGTTAAATAAATATTAAAAATACATAAAAAATATTTAAGATAATCACATAATCCAAGTATAAAAATATTTTTAAAAAATTTTTTAATTAAAAAATAAAAGTTGCTTAAACTCAAGTTTATATTACTAAATAAATTATTTCTGTCGCCAACATTATAAGCCGAATGGCGTTAGGGCTGATCCACTAAGAACTCTACTCAAAGATTTTACATTCAACAGGGAAAATCCATTTTAAGTATTTCACCACATCAACCAAATGTGTCCACGATTCAGTCAAACCCCTTTGAGGTCAATGCGACAGCTTCGTGAGTTTTCCTTTTCAGCAAAAATAGAAAAAAAAAAACAGAACTAAAAACTGGATTCGTATTGTGTTAAGCATAAATAGAGCTGAGTGCTACAATGAGCCGGAAGCAACATCCGGAGTTGTGGATCGATATGAGCAAAGCTACACGTAGCATTGTTCGCCTATTCGTTTAATGATCCAATTTGGCGTTACGCATTGTGCACATTATGGTGCTGTACTTAGAAATATTTAACTATGCATATGCCTATGTTTTTTAGTTCTATTTCCAATTGGGGGAGGGTTGGATTTGGGGGACTGGTGAAATTTGTTGTCACTTATTGAGGTCGAGCTGTAGTTTGGTTAGCCTACGAACTGATTCGACCATGTTTGATAAATGCTCATTATTGAAATATATATATATGTATATAGAAGTTCTAGAACACGCGATCGCCCACTGAATGTATTTGTGCTAATAATGCCGCGTTAAGCTTTTGGATAGTGTACGTTGAGTTCTAGAGCGACATGGAATTGCGCTTAATATTAATAATAGCAACGTTGGCTGGCCTAGGCTTGAGCCAGAGCTATGGTAAGTACGAGAGATTCTTCGTTTAGCTCAAGTCTAAGCCAACTCGCCCCACTCACAGCTCAAACTACCTGCAAGAATGGACTGGGCCGCGTGCTCTATGAGCGACTGCCCAATCAGCAGCTGCAGGGCTACGATGACGATGTGGTGCGCGATACTGCACCACCATTTCGAGTGCTGGAGAAATGTCAGGATCTGTGTCTGCGCGATCGCACCGGCACGAATAATCTAGTGCGCACCTGTACCAGCTTTGACTTTCAGCCAGGTAGTCGGATCACCTCATTCGGTGGCACCTCCGAATACGAGGAGTCACTCTGCTATCTCACCTCCGAGCAGGCTGGACCGGAGGGCATTGGCAGCTTGATGCTGGTGCCGAACAGCGTGCACTTTAACGAGATCTGTCTGACATGTGAGTGTTTGAGAGTTTGTCTGTCTGTGTGGGTGTTGAAACTGTTTCAAATTACTCTCTTCATCTAACTAATTGCAGCTAGCCGCCCCGAGCGTGAGTGTCCCAGTCGACGATATGTTTTCGAGCGACATCCGCGCAAGAAATTGAAGCTGCCCATCAGCGACATCAAGGAGGTGAGTGAGAGATTAACAGAGGCGTTGCTCTAATCCGAACTGGTGGAGCCAGTGTAGCAGGTAGACTAGCTAGTCAGAGGGTAAGGAGAGAAGGAAGTTTCCATTCTAACTTTCTGCAGAGAGTCAAGAGAGGAGAAGAGGGATTCATTTACTTTGATATGCTAGAGTGGGCACAGCAGGAGAAGGGAGTTAATAGAACATAAAGGCAGAAGGCGAATGCCTTATCCAAAGCGATTAAAGTAAGGAAGCCTACAGTATAAGAGAGGTTTCTTTACTTTGATGCCAGACTTGGATGCTCCATTCTAACATGTTGTAATTATATTGTTGCTTCAGATAACAGCCGCCAATCGTTCGGACTGCGAGGACAAGTGTCTCAATGAGTTCTCATTTGTGTGTCGCTCGGCTAACTTTGACTCGACCATGCGCTCCTGTACGCTAAGTCGATTCACACGACGCACACACCCAGAGCTAATGGAGGATGATCCCAATTCGGACTATCTGGAGAATACGTGCTTAAATGGCAAGCTCAAACAATTTGGCTAGTAAGCTGATCTAGATTCTAAGTTCTAAATTTTATAGCTGAGCGACGCTGCGATGGATTGGCCGTGTTTGTGAAGGAGGAGAACAAGCGCCTGGGCGGTCCCTTTGAAGTGGATATCTTTAATAATATGACGCTGGAGGAGTGCCAGACCATGTGTCTGCGTGCCGAGAAGTAAAGACTGCACTTGATACTTCAAAGGCACATTAAACTAATCGAAGAAAAAAAATACAAAACTGTTGCAGGTACTTTTGCCGTTCAGTTGAATTTGATGACCAAAGCAAACAGTGTATACTGTCTGAGGAGGATTCCATTTCGCAGAAGGATGACATTAGCATTAGCTCCAGTCCCACACATCACTTTTATGATCTTGTGTGCCTCGATAATCGTAAGTGGCCAAACACAAGTTAGCGCCTCGGCTCGATGGCAAACAGGGCAGAACTGGACAGAGTGGACTAACTAGGACAGACAGGGACTCAGACTAGCCAAGACCAGACAGCAGCCAGCGCGCTAAGTGCGCCATTAAGCGCTGACCATAAAGACTTGTGCTGCTGCTTCACTTTGATGTCTATGTCTACGTTTTATGCCACTTGCCATTTGCTCTAGCTGTTGCTCTAGCTGTAGCTGCATACTGTATACTGTTGTATTCCCGTTGCAGAACGAGCCACCGATTATCCAGATAACTCAGTCACCTCGCACCTCTTCTCGAGCGGCCGTCGGCCAGATACAGCATTCCAACGTTACCGCAATTCGCGACTGGGCGGCGAGTTTCACTCTGAGATCACGGGCCGTTCGCTTAGCGAGTGCCTGGACGAATGCCTACGCCAGACAAGCTTCCAGTGCAGGTGCGTTGTGGTTGTCTTACTCTTTGTCTTGTATTTCTTGTTGTCTTTCTGTTGTTTTTGCTCGTTTTCTGTCTTCCTATGTGCCAACCCACACGAAAACTCTTTTTTTTTTTTTAACAAATTGCAGGTCTGCAGTTTATAGCGATCGTTTTCGAACTTGTCGCCTCAGTCGGTACAATCAAAAGGATGGCATGCGCATTATATATGATGCTGATTATGATTACTATGAGAATCTGATGTGTAAGTGGTGAAGCTGCGAGTGCTAATGGAATGGTTGAACTAATCTTTAACTCCTTAGTGAATGTTGTGGGCGGCGGCAGTGGCAGCGGCGGCAGTGGCAATGGTGGCGCCGATGGCGACGTTGGTCACGGTGGCAGCAACGACGCCAAGCGACCTGGTGATCACTCTGGCAGCAACTGGAGACAGCCTAACAAGCATGACGATCGCTACGGTCCGGGGTCAACGGGTGCTGGCATGGGCGGTCCAAGCTCGCATGGCGGCGGCAGTAGACTGCCTCAGGGGGAGGGCATCGATTATGGACGGCCATACGATCGCTATCCCGACTATGCAGCCAATGAATATGGTAGATCACTCGAATAAAAGCATAGTTAATGGCACTAATAAGTTTTTATATCTTAGCAGATCGTTATCCTTATGGCGATCGTGATCGTGAACGTGAACGTGATCGCGATCGTTATCCACCCGATCGCTTCGGTGGCTCGCGTTATCCAGGCAGCGATGGCATAGGCATAGGCATGGGCATGGGCTATCCGGGTCGACCCTACGAACGTTATCCAGATGATTATGGTAAGTCGTTTGATATCTCTAAAACCTTTAATAACAGCACGCTACGCTTTGCCACTGATCGATACTGACAACTAATTTACTAACCCAAAAGAACGAGATCGTGATCGTGATCGTGATCGTTATCCGGAACGCTATCCGCCCGATCGCTATGGAGACAGACGCTATCCGGAGAGGGAGCGGGATCGTGATCGCGATCGCGATCGTGATCGTGATCGTGACCTGCTGCCCTATCGCCCGCTGCCCTATCCGGCCATCAATGATAATACACTGCCCAGCGATCTGCCACATACGCGACCTTTCCCCAGCGATGATGATGCGCCCTATAGGCCGTATGGCTTTGGCGGAGGTGGACGATATGGTGATAGTCGCTATGACAGCCGTTATCCAGCACGCTATCCGCCGAGTCGCGATCCTGTGGGTGGCTACACGGGTCGTGATGCACCCGATAGCATATTTCCGGACAGACGCTATCGCCCCTCATCCATGCCTCCGTCTCGCTATCCCTATGCGCCTGATTCGCGCACGCCACCCGGACGCTATGATGATATTGTGCACAGTGCTCGACGTCCAGAGCCGGATTCGGCTAAACGATATCCGCCAGCTCCACTAGCACCCACGGGCAGCGCCAGCAAGTATGCCTCGACCCCAAACCGCTTTCCGGTAGGTAGTGAACGCTATCCCGTTGACATCTACAAGTACGGCAATCGCTTAGGACCCAGCGACGTAGGCAGACGTCCCGGTAAGTACAGGACACTAATCAACTACCCCATCTAATAAGACTACCCATAAAACTACTGAACAGATATTGAAAATTATGACCGGAAGTTCGATTGTTAACATTTTTGGCCGATCTCTAGTTAGTTTCAGATGCGAGTTGCTTCAATATTTTACTCTTTAATGGTATTAATAAAGAATTTTTGCTTGACTCCAAATATGGCATTGTATATTCCCAAAACTTTTTTACTGAAATGTAAAAAGCTTTTACAACGAATGATCTCCAAGTTCGTACCAAAATGCTTTAAATTTGCGCACTCAGTGCAAATAATTGAGTTATCGAGAGCTTTTATCTAACTCCATTGCACTATATAAAATTGCATACTTTTAGTAACTCGTTCTAAACCTGACACTGCAATGAGATCAGCAGAATAATTTTAGGATTACCACTAATTGCCATATATATATATATTTGGATTCAGGTTCAGATCGGCCGCCGCCTTATTATGACTACGACTATGAGGAACGCTATAGCGATCGTTATGCACCTGGGCCCTATGATCGCGAATATGATGGACCGCCGGCGCGTCGCCCACTTGTTGGTGGTCCCTACGGCCGTTACGACACGCCCTTCAATCGCCCCTATGGAGGTGGCGCCGGCAGTAGCCTCGATGATAGGCCCATACCGCTGCCTGGTCTCGGTCTGGGCCTCTCACATCCGCCCACGCCATACGGTGGGGCATCGCATGTGGGCGTAGCTGTTGGCGCTGGTCCACCGCGTCCGCCCATAACGCGCTGCGAGGAGAGCGATAATTTCAAGCAGATCGCTGCCAGGCACAAAATGCGACGTCATTTCGTGCGACGCGCTCTAATCGTGCCGAGTCTGATACAATGCGAACGGGAATGCATCGAGAGTCGAGACTTTGTGTGCCGCAGCTTCAACTACAGGTAAGCGAAAGAGATGTGGCACAGATAGAAACAGCCAATGTAACTGCAACTGCAATCGCAATCGCATATTCAATTTGCAGAGACACCGCCTCCAGCTACGATGATCGGGACCGTGAACGTGATCGCGAGTCGCCCAACTGCGAGCTAAGCGATCGCGATTCACGTGAGCTGGATATACACGATCCGGGCTCGTTCGATGCCTCCAACTATGATTTCTACGAGCGCAGCATTGGACGCAGCGACGGCGAATGCATGGATGGTAACCATACTGAAGATCTATTATACTTCAATTGACTAAGACTAATTGCCCATTGCAGTTACGCAGACATGCAACGAGGAAGGCATGGAGTTTACCATACGCACGCCGGAGGGTTTTCTGGGTAGAATTTACACATACGGCTTTTACGATCGCTGCTTCTTCCGTGGCAATGGCGGCACTGTCAATGTACTGCGGATTAGCGGACCCCAGGGCTATCCAGACTGCGGCACACAGCGTGTAAGTAAATTCACAACTCTGCGCACTAATCACGTTCGTTGATCTCGCGCTTGATTTTATCTTTCAGTACGGCGACACGCTGACTAATATAGTAGTCGTGCAATTCTCGGACAATGTACAAACAAGTCGCGATAAGCGCTACAATCTCACTTGCATCTTTCGTGGCCCCGGCGAAGCGGTCGTCAGCTCTGGCTATATCGGCGCCGGGTAATCATTAGCCATGATTATCGTCATTAGCTCTGTTGATGATTAATACTTAACTCTCTTCTGCTATCACAGTTCGGGCAGCCCCATACCCATAGAATATTTGCCGGCTGAGAACACGCTGAGCTCCAAGGTTCGTCTGAGCATTCTCTATCAGGGCAGGCCCACAACAACCATCGCCGTGGGCGATCCCCTCACATTCCGTCTGGAGGCGCAGGATGGCTATAATCATGTCACAGATATATTTGCTACTAACGTGGTGGCCAGAGATCCCTACTCCGGGCGCAGCATACAGCTTATCGATCGCTTCGGGTATAAGATATATATATATATATAGACTAGAGACTTTTGCCTTGACTCATATCTTCCTCTAGCTGCCCTGTGGATCCCTATGTCTTCCCTGAGCTGGATAAGCTGCGCGATGGCGACACACTGGAGGCACGCTTCAATGCCTTTAAAATACCTGAATCGAATTTCCTAGTGTTTGAGGCCACGGTCAGATCCTGTCGCGAGGGCTGCCAGCCCGCCTACTGCCCAGGTCCGGCGGGCCGTCAGGAGCCCTCCTTTGGGCGCAGACGACGCAGCTTGAATCTCACCGAAGAAATCCCCGAGCCACAGGCACTGGAAGCTATCAATAATGAAGAGGAGGAGATTACGGTGGTAAACAGCACCACAGTTAGTGCCACAATGAGTGGTGCGCAGCTGAATGCTACGCAAGAGGGCGAGAAGTCCAAGGAGAATGAAGAGCCAGAGCAAGTGCGAGAAATGATTGAAGTAGGTTTCAGCTAATAGCTACGAAATCGATTTGATGCTCAACTGAAATATTCCTGCAGGTTTTTGAGACACGCGAGGAAATTGAGAAGGAATCGTATCCCCGCAAGCTGGTAGCCCCAGTGGAGACTGTTTGCATGACGCCCGCTGAGTATCATGGCCTGATCACAGCTATAATATTGCTAATGATTCTACTGTTTAGCATTACGCTAGTTGCAGGACTGGGCTACAGGTGAGCTAAGCAATTAGTGAGCCAATTTGTTGCATATTTGCTATCTATTTGTTGCCTTGCAGACGCTACTGGAAATCCATATCGAAGAATCGTCTTGTAGATCGCCACTCGCCCATACACTCGCTGGGTCACTCCCACTCCTCGATACGCACCCACGAGCGCTTCACCGAAATTGGGCACATGCCGAATGGAAATGGAGCAACTGGCATTGGAACTGGAGCTGGCAGCAATCGCAGCACATCGAATCGCGCCTCGAACGCTTTTCGCACCAACATGTCCATGTTTGGCGGCTCATTACATAAGACTTTTGCCACAGGGTAAGCACAGCTGGTCTAGACCAGTTCACTTATCTCTTAAGCTGACGAAATCTGTTTCTACTTGCAGCAATTTGGCTCGCATGTGCCAGCTGCCAGTGATAAATCCCATTCGCACCGCCGGCAACAGCAATCATCAGTTCGAGGATCCAAGTGAGCCCATCTACACCGATCCCTCGCTCTTCGAGCGCTCCAGGTAAATCGCAGTGGGCAACAAATGCATGTGGAATATTTCGAAATCGTTTTCTAATGAATTGAATCTGTGAATTTTATTTCATCGTAGCTCTAGCCAACCGCATGCCCTTAGAACCATACGCAATTGTAAATATATCAAAGTTTTCTTTAAGCTCCTTGTTGATAGTCGTTTCTAATCAAATGCACGCTAGAGTGGCCTACACACACATAGCTGCACCTTGTTGCAAATGCCGTCACGTCCGCCAGCTATTTGGCATCTGGTGGAGCACCAATCGCCCTGCAGGGCACAAACGCCCGTAAATGTGGGCAAATCGCCCGTGGCTGAAGAAAACGTTAAGCACAATTAATCAGCTAAACAGTTCCACGTTTTTCTCTTGCTATCTGCAAACTTACATGCATTGGCCTGAGCTAACCAGATTAAACATATAACTAGACACAAGTATTTCATTTTTTCTTTCAACATTTCAATGCACAAATCTCGAGAGACAGACACAGACTAAAGCGAAGCTTTTGTAGCTGTTGTAGCTCTGGGCATGTGCTCTCCGACAATGATAAGGCTTATCAGTTAACATTTGGTACAAGACGCTCATCTAACACGAAAAGCGCATGTCTTTACATATGATTAGTTTACTCACAATATATATACATATATATTTCTGATTTCTGTTTAATATATTTTGTTTTCTTTTCAATGCAGATCGCTGCGAAGTCTGACCATGGTCGCCGAGTCGGAAGATAATAAAGAGGTCTAAAATGTAAAGCACAAGGAAATTTTGCTCGTCTTCTTGTGATTAGCTGTAAATACCAAGCGAAACCATCTGCCCCTATATATATACATATATATATATATTGAACTGAACCATTCAGTTTTATTGTGTGCAATACACATCTACAGCCCATTGCATTCGGTTACCTCGACTTGCGTCTCGAGGCTCAGTATCAAAATATATTGATAATCCCGTTAGATCTAAGAACCAAATCAAATCGAATATCGATCTATATTAATCTTAATAACAACAGCAAGTACCAAAAGCAAAATGTCAAACACACAATTATTTCTACATAACTAAGATACTTAAATTATATATATTAAATGCAATAAAACTTAAAAACTTATCCATACCAAAACTAGAAGCTCATTGGCTTTTCCTAAAGAACCTAAAGAACCAAAGTCCAATCAAGGTCAAGCTGTGCACAAAACGAGGTTGATCTAAAAAGTTTCTCTGACTAAATTTGCAGATAAAAGAAGAGAATTCTAGAGCTTGAAAGCTTTATCAGCTTGGATATCCAATTATATTACATTAATCTAAGCATTCATATTTGATGGTTTCAAATCTTGCTTAGAGATCAAATCTGGCGAATATATATGGAATATTTTCAAGCATAATGCGCAAAACTGAATAGTCTTGTATCTGACACTAATTTAAGAGAATGATATAGAATTTCTATAAGACTTGATCCTTAGCCCTTGATTGAAGAGCGAGCTAGCTATAAGTGAAGTGAACCACGACTAGCCATGCTCTATTACTAGACTAATCTATGTGCTTGGTATTGTCTTACTTCCAACTGCCTTCTAGAACTAATATTGCTGTAGAGTTCGTGTAATTTTAGTTCAGTTTGAAGGCTCTAGAGAGTGTTATCAGAGAGTGAAATTTTTATGGTTTTTCTAGTCTGCAATGTTTTCAGATTTCTTCTAGGATTACTGGACTTGTAAGACTTCCAAGCCTATAAGATTGAGAGCTTATAACAATATTAAGGCTCAGCATATTAGAAGTGTATATAATATAATATATAATAAAATCAAATTCTGGCTTAATGAGCCCATGTTCATATGCCTTGGGCCATGTTCCACTTATGGAAAGTATAAGAACTTCTTAAAGCTATGTAATTTCAATTTTTACAGCAGTAGCTCAAAGCACCCTTTAAAAGAAGAAAACAAACTGTATTTCTATAGAAAAAAGTTGAAACAAATTGTAATTCTCCAGCAAAGAAGATTTTTTCATCCGAAACGTGACCGCTTTAAGTTATTTTTAACGAAGGGTTTATGTAAGAGCCTTTTTTTGTGTAAGTGCACATTCATATTATAGCATAAGTGCTCCGAGTACACACATATATATGTCTTATGTGTATAATGGGCCTTATCTCTACGGGCTTTTTCTGCGTCTAGCCAAAAATTCGTGCCGCTTTGGCTAAGAACTGTGAACGTGTTAAAAGACGCACCAGCACGAAAATATTTCTATGCGTAATTCTCGCCTACGTGTAAATATTAAAAACTAAAATAAACAATTACTAAAGAAACGCCCCATGTCAATTGTCAATGACATTTACGAGCGGATTACATGAATGGTTCCCAGCCCCTATGTTAACCAATAGCTTTGATCTCTATTACTTGGGCAGCTCTTTAATGTATTCAATAATTCGCATCGCTATGGATTGATAGACAATTATTGCTATGCCAAAGGCATGCGAGCTGTATCAGGCCAAGTTGGATTTTTTATCAGACCGCATGGAAGCATTTCGCTTAATCATTGTACGATTCTTGTTCCGGCATCAAGAACTGCAGTCGCATCGATCACGTTCACGTATTAAAACAAAAACAAGTGCGAAAAAGTGAAAGTGGTCGACCATGCAATACCCTGGCTTTCGATGTAGGCGTAGAAGAGGTCAAGTATTTACTTAAGGAATTTATATATGTATATATATTATTAGAGGTAGATGAGGTCGTACATGCATAAACATATTGAGCTCTTTATCCATGAATCGTTTATCCGTTTACTATTTTCGATAGGCAAATACATAGATGTATAAGAAGAGATTCATATATCATTTATCCACACATCCAATAGACTATCCATTCAGCTCTAGGTTCAACCAGTTATTTAGAAAATTAGTCTACCCATATATTCGTAGCTGGATAAACATTCGCACATGTGGATAAATTATATGTGGATAAATAATAAATATGGATGTATGAATAAACACACGTGCGGGTAGAGCAAGGAATAAAAAATTATATAAATACATGATGAAATAGACCTTCGGATAAACTGAACGACATTTCGGGGAGATAGATAAACAAAGAAATCGAAGAAGATCAACTGACGGATAAAAAGAAAAAGTGACGAACGTCACAATATAACCAATATACCTCTTACCACTAACTATAAAGAGTACAATTACTCAGACTATATGCGAGCTGTGGTGCATAAAACAGAAGAAAGCAACAAGAACAACAAAAAAGTTGTCGCAACGGAAGCCAAGCCAACCAAGCAGTTGCCATCTCGCTCCGAAGCAAAGCATCAAGATGAGCTTGAGTCAGGTATTCTTTTGGGCAACAGTAATGCTGCGATGCTTTTACAGCTTCTCTTCCGGTTCTTGACGCACGTGGCGTGCGCTCATGAATCGATGCAGCGCGCTTAGACGAAGTGAGAAAATGTTGTTGCTTCTTGGCGAGCAGCGACTGCGTTTAGGTTCTTCTGCATAAATCACGCATCAGCACATTTGGCATTTCAATTATGCAACATTCTTAAAGCGAACAAAGTGCATTTAAAAGCCGGGCACAACGACTCTAAGCCACAAGTAACAAACGAAGCGCGAACGCGTCCACAGCAAAGGATAATCTCTTTCAACTAATGTGCAATCAAAAACCAAACAAAGTGAAGACGAAAGCCAAAAACTGAAATAAATATCATATATAGAATATATATAAATATAAATTTAGTTTCGAGTGGGTATCATTATGACGAACTGCATCTGGCTGCTGGCCCTTGTGGTGGCCATTAATGCCCGCTCGCTGCATGTGCCGCATGGATATGGCATTCCCCATCGTCCTCCTCCGCATAGTCCGTACTATTACGCGCCCTATAGCTATGCGAGTGCTGGAGCCTTTGCTGGCTACGGCTATCGGTCGCGTCCTACGCTCTACAATCCCCCGGGCAGTTATTACGACAGCAATTACGGCGTACACAGATTCCTGCCAGGTGGCGGAAATCCTGTAACAGTGGACTACGTAGGTTTAGCTGATTTTTAGATATTTATATAACTGAAACTTCATTTGTTACTTTTTTCGAAAGAACAATCGTTGCTCAAGGAACTACGTGGGCATTAAGCCTCATCCGGATCAACAGCAATACTACTATGTCTGCCAGCCCAACTGTGTGATCTTTAGCAAGTGTCCCGAACTGAAGGTAAGCTAATTATATTAATAAACTAGTCTTTCTGTAAGTGATAGTTACGATCCTTACTTGACTCTACAATCCTCTCTCTGCACAAGCAGAAATTCAACTCCAGCACTGGCCGTTGTGTGGAACGTGTGAATCCTGATTATCCACCTATTTGCAAGAAGGAGGGTCGCTTTTCTTATCAGCACGATTGCCGAATCTATTACAAATGTGATCGGCATTTGACGCCACAGCTTTACGGTTGTCCCACGGGCACAATATTCTCGCAACTGGAGGGCAAATGTATACCTGGCGATGAGTGTCCTTCGACAGAGATCTCTAACAGCGGCAGCTACATACCAGAGAACTGTGAGCTCAAGTTTCCCGAATGCACGGCGGAGGGCACGTTCAGATCACCCAAGGATTGCGCCCTGTACTACAGCTGCAAGCTGCAGCCGAGTGGAAACTATTTGCAAACACGTTTCAAGTGAGTGCCTCACGAAATTCCAAGTTCAATTCAAATAAATTCCATTTCATTATATTATCTTTTATAGATGTCCTGGCAACAACAGCTACGACCCGAAACGGAAACTTTGCCGACCACATCATGAAGTCGATTGCCAAGGATATCTATCCTATGCGCCTATGTCGCCTTACCAGCCATATATCTCCGAGGCGGACTTTGACACAGGGGCACCAGAAAAGCAGCCAGAGTTGAGCTCGTTACCCGAGGACTCTAAAGTAGCAAACATTGAAGATCCAAAACAAAGCATTAAGATAGTTATATTGCCTACAAAGCCTACGCCGCAGCCGACGCCACAGCCGACGCCGACATCGACGTCAACAACTGTTGCCACGCCTACTGCACCCACCTATAAATACCCCGAGTATCCATCGTATCCATCGTATCCTTCGTATCCTTCGTATCCTTCGTATCCTTCCTATCCTTCTTATCCTTATTATCCCTCAAATCCCGCATACCCTAACTACAACTATGGCAATCCGCATATGGAACCGGAAGCGCTGATTGAAGAGAATGCCGACCCTGAGTCATCTGTACAAATTGTTATCATCCCAACAACGGGCAAGCCAACAACAGACTCTGATAAAAACACTCCGAAATATCCTTACCAGAAGTACACATACCCCTCATATCAATCGACCGACTCTAGCACAGCCCCAACCACAACTGCAAGTCCAACTATCAAAAACACGCACACTCCGACTGTGAAGATAGAATTTAAGCCGGAGATGCAGCCGTCAGGCATCGCTTTTAGAAGTTTAATCCAGAAGAAAATTGTGATATTGCCACCGGCGCCCGCAACCAGTACGACAGATGCACCATCTACAACTGCGGAGCCAACAACAACAACCACTCAGAGGACGACAACACCGCCTAAGCCAACGCCCACTAAGCCAACTCCCAACCCAACAACAACTCAAACACCTTCAACAACAACTGCGACTTCCACAACAACTCCAAAGCCAACGACAACTGTTAAACCAACAACTCAACCAACAACAACCACTCAATCAACAACTCCAAAACCAACAACAACTCCGAAACCAACAACTCCGAAACCAACAAATCCGAAACCAACAACTCCGAAACCAACAACAACTACTCAATCAACAACAACCACTCAATCAACAACAACCACACAACCAACAACAACTCCGAAACCAACAACTCCGAAACCAACAACAACTCCTCAATCAACAACAACCACTCAATCAACAACAACCACACAACCAACAACAACCACTCAATCAACAACAACCACACAACCAACAACGACTCCGAAACCAACAACAACTCCTCAACCAACAACAACTCCTCAACCAACAACGTCTAAGCCAACTACAAATACTCCAAAGCCAACAACAACTCTCAAGTCAACAACTTCTAAAAGAACAACGACCAACAAGGTTACGACTCCAAAACTAACTACTACAAGTCCTAAGCCAACCACAACTAGTCAGGCCACAACTACGCCGAAACCAACAACTCCCAAGCCAACAACTAGCAAATCGACAACCACAACTCCTAAGCCAACTACAACCACTCCGAAGCGTACAACAACAACTCCGAAGCCAACTACAACCACTCCGAAGCGTACAACAACTCCGAAGCCAACTACAACCACTCCGAAGCCTACAACAACAACTCCGAAGCCAACTACGACAACATCAAAGCCAACAACTGTTCAACCAGTAACAACTAGCATTCTTACCACAAATCCCAAGCCAAAAACTACCCCGAACCCAACCACAACTCCCAAGACAACAACGACTCCCAAGACAACAACAACACCTCAGCCTACGACAACTACTAAGCCAACGACAACTCCTAAACCAACAACAACTCCTAAACCAATAACTCCCAAGCCTACGACAACACCTCAGCCTACGACAACTCCTAAACCAACAACTCCTAAGCCAACAACAACCCCAAGACCAACGACTCCAAAGCCAACAACCAAACAACCAACAACCTTACCACCAACAACTAGTACAACCACAACACCTGGGCAGAACACCACTGAAGTAACAACAACCACCAAACTACCGCCTTGTCAACCTGAAGGTAAGTCCTAAAAAATTAATTATCCCAATGTGCCCTGTTATACACGCAGTTCTAAGGGAGCAGCTCATACCAACTTTATACACTCAACCACACCCAATCAACTACTTTACAGACACACAATGTATACAACAACAACAACCACCACTCAACAATCACAAACACACAGAGACCGAAACACAATTTGCTATTAGCAAGTCGAGCAAAAGTCTTTTTGGGGAAAGTGATTCGCAAGCCTCGCTCTTATCCCAGAACTTAGTTTCCAGCGAGCTTAGCTTAGATTATATGAACGATGAGCCCGCGCCGGAAGCGGAGAGCACCACAGTCAAGTGGACAACTATGAAACCACTAGCAAAACCCTCGACCATGTCCAGCTTAGCTGCAGCACATATACTCCACAAGCTATTCCAGGTAATATCGACAACAGCAGCGCCGGGATCTAAGGTGACATTTGCCCAAATGGCGAAGCACAATTTGGCCACATCAAAGCCCTTTATCGCCGCATCCTTGAGGCAGTCAATTAAGCAGTTGACCCAGGAACTACCAAAACCACAAACTACCAGCAGAGCTGCTGAAGAAGATTCCGAGTACTATGATAGCGAATACGATACGAATGAGCTGGAGAATGTGTTGGATAAGCATGATCTGAAAGATAAGCTATCAATGAACAGTACAGTTAGCACCACAAAGAGCACCACAACGACTTTGAGCTCAGTTGAGAGCACAACCAAACCAATGTCCATGTCAGCTATTGCCGTGGATCCGCTAGAGACCAGCTCCAGTGTGCCTGTGCCAGCTGTGGCTAATGCCACCGTTTTCAAGTCCAATGACAAAGATTACTCCGAAAACTATGTGGATTCGGACTATGCCAATGATGAGCCCATGGAGGAGCCGCAAGAAACCACCGCAAAACCCGACTTGAATGCCCAAAAGCAGACGCTAATCCAACTGCTAAAGCAGAAATTAATCCAAGCAGCCAACACCGTAACGCCCGCACCACTAAGCACCAGCACCACAAAGACAACCAACTTGTTGGCTAATGAAATTGCGAGCAACAGTAAAGACTTAAGCGTGCCAAAAAGCTTATTGATGAGTCTACTAAGACAGAAGCTGAGCAGAACGAGCACCACTTCAGCTCCTCTCAGCAGCAGCACAAGTGCTGGCACCACAGCGCGCACCACAACAACCAAGAGCTTAAATGCAATCGCTAGCAACTCAGAATACTATGATGATGAGGATTATGAGTATGTAAACGATGCCGAGGACACAGACAGAGCCACGGGCGCAGCAACAGAAGCCGCCATTAAGCAGACAGCGCTTAGAGCCGCCACAGCCAAAAGACACTCCATACACCCGTCTCTCAACGAAGCGAACGGGCTAACGAGCGAGGCCAAGAAGCAACAAAGCTCCGAGACTTTTGCATTTAAGCCACAAAGTGTACCGCTGCCAGTACCCGCATTTCTCAAGCAATCAGCCAAGCAATTTAATGAAATATCAAAGCATAAATCAAAGAATCAGAATTTTTTAGATAGCAACAGCATAGTAAAAGCCAAAACAGCAACCACAGTAGCTACAAGCAATGCCCGCACCACACAGCCAACCAAACGCCAAGAGATCAAAGACAATTCCACACAGCAACTGAAATCAAACAGCACCACAGTAAAACCCAAAACAACAACCACCAGCACAAATACTCGCAACACACAGCCAAAAGCAGCAGTAGCCACACGCCAAGAGCAGCTCACACTTAGAGAAAATGCTGCTCAGCAACTCAAATCAATCAACAGACTAAGCCCTACAACAGCCACCAGCACCACTCGCAACACAACAACATCAACAGCAGCAAACACACGCCAAGAGATGTTCACACTTAAAGAAAATTCTACACAGCCATTGACACTAAACAACAACCCTAAAGCAGCAACAACAACAACCACCAGCACCACAGAATCGATTCCTAAAGAGAATTCCAGAAATACACGTCAAGAAACACCACAGACGCTGCAAAGTCTAAGTCAAGTTAAAGACACCGTAGCAACCACACGCACCACTCAACAGCCAAAAGTGGCGGCAGCAGCATCCACACACCAAGAGATTTTAACGGTTAATAAAAAGCCGTGGCTGCTGCAGTCAAAGAATCAAAGCATACATCTAATGCCATTACAAGCGGCTAGCAATAGCAACCCAGTGACTCATACGAATCGTTCATCATTATTAGAGTATACAACGGCCGGCTACTATACGTCAGAAAAGGTGCCCGAACTGATATTGAAGGTGTATGAGCCCATCGATGTGAAGGTCGTCTTCTGTCCCAGAAATTGCGACGAGGAACACGATCATAAATATGGTAAGCATTTGACAACGATATATTATGCATTACATATATAATATTGGATTTCTTTATCCACTCGCCAGACCCAGCTGATAATTATAAGTCGAATTGCACGACGGGTTGTGATACGCCCAATCCAAAAACTCATCACAGCGTAGATTTATGGTGGAAGCCACTTGAACTGAAGGATACGGCGGGTTTCCAGACAATAACATAGATATATCTATATATATATATAGACTACAGTTAACCGATCTTAATATATGGCTAAACAACATTAACTATGTTCATATATATATACATATATATATAGTTACATAAACACTTTAATAAACATAAATTGAATAAATTACAAATGTGTTTTACTTTGCTTAAATAAGTATACTAAGTATACATTTTACAATATCCCTCTTAATAATAATAATAACTTATATATATTTATATTACTTAAGCTCAATCTGGAAAGTTTTTCTATATATATATATATATCTATATAGTTCATGACTAGCACAAATGAAAAACACTTTTCAAATGCCTTGGTGGGTTAACGAACAACATTATGGAAAAGCGGACAACTTATCAAAAATGAATAATTAAGAATAATATATATATATATATATATATATATATATATATATATATATATATATATATATATATATATATATATATATATATATATATATATATATATATATATATATATATATATATATATTTATATATATATATATACACTATTTTAATCCAATAGGCCAATATAATTTAGTAATTGAGTATAAGACTATACTTTTCAGTTTACTTTTGGAACATTTCAGATTGCTATGCAAGGCAAAAAAGCTTACTTGATTACTACATTGAAAAGCAAATATTGTTGGCATCGGAAATTAATCGAAAAAAAACTATTCAAACTTTAAGCTTAAAACATACAGCATAAATTAAATAGTAAAGTAGACAAGCATATACCCTATATACACTATGTACAAAAGAAACCCTTAATACTGTAGAGCACCGGTGCCCTGCTGCCTAATCATCAAAGAAGAGTATTTCCAATATTCTTTTTTGTACATTTTTTCGACGATCCTTATTCATTTTCAATAGCTCCGTGGTGACCAGCTCACCAAGCAAATGCTCCGAGGAGCGCTGTATGCCATGTGGATTTGTTGGCGTTTGGAATTTACCATAGTTGGAAGCATGCGAGGTGCCTGCAGACTGTTGCTGTGGCAGCTGCTGATAAAGCTGGAAGAGGAAATCCGTATTAGTTGGAAACATATTCGTATGTTGCGGTTGTTGTTGTTGTTGCTGATGTTGTTGCTGCTGCTGTTGCTGCTGTTGTTGCTGCTGCTGCTGCTGCTGTTGCTGTTGATTACTATTATTGTTGACATTTCCATTTGAGTTATTGCGCTGCATATTGAGAGAATTATTGTAGTGATTTTCATGCTGTAGCATTGTCTGTGGTTCCATTAAATCATTGCTGTTATCATCCGAATCATCGTCGCTGTCTTGGCCAAAATGTCCATTAGGATTAGATATACCATTGCTGGCATGCTGTACATGATTGCTGACACCATTGGAGTTTAGCTGCACGCGGGGCTTCTTATTGTGATAGTTGGATGAGGAATGCATTTCATCGCTGGTCTTATGACTATAACCCCCCTGCACACTGGATGAGGAATGTACAGCTGGCTGTTGGGACGCTACTGCAGTCGCCTGCTCCTCCTGCTGTGTATTCTGAGTTACACCCAAACCGGGCAGCGGAGAGGACAACGGTGATTTCATTGAGGAAGACGTCGAGGTAAGGCCACCTGTGCTGCCGGCGCCATTCATTATCGGTTCCTGATAGCCCTGCGATGAGTCTGCCATGACTGCGGCTACAGCCGCCGCCTGTTGCTGTTGCATTTGCGATTGTGAGATATGCTGCAGTTGCTGTGAGGCTACAGCAGCAGCAAAATCTCTAAATATTTCCGCCTCTATTTTCACTTGTCCGTTAACATTCTCTAGAGCTGAGGCTGCAGCAGTGCTGAGTGCATTCATTGGATGTTGCTGATCTACAGACCCCGACTGCTGCTGCTGTTGATGATAATGATGGTTCTGGCCAGCGAAATGCGACATATTCTTGTGTGAGCTATTCGACTTGGAGTCCACATTATATTCACTATAATTGGAGCTATTCGCCGATTGTGGTGAGGTCAAAAAGTTGGGCACATTTCGGTAGGATTTACGAGGCTGTATATGCTGATCCAGGAATTTCATTTTCTCCAAATACGGACGGGATAGATGCTCATAAACAGGTGGGTCGCCTTGTTTGCGCTGAGATACATAACGTTCGCGTAAATATTTCCAGCGCTTCTTACACGTTTCCACTGCCAATCAAAATGTATTTGTTTATTAAGTTTACTCAGCTAATTAGCGCAAATTGAGTTGAAACTTTTTTATTGGGCTTACCGTCCGTCCGCAGCTTCAGCGCAATGAGTTGCCAAGCCTCGTCCTTGGTCTCGTATTTGCCGCCGCTGGTGCTGCCATTTAAATAATACTTTTGGCGATTGTATATGACGCCGTGGTGAGCTACTTCATCAATAAGTTGCTCATCCATCATGATGTAGTTATAAAGGGGAAAAAAATCACGATTTTTCTTTTTTTGTTATTTGCGTGCGCTCCAGTCTTTTCGGCGATTGGCGATGTGCAAAAGCGTTGAGGCTACTCATGTATCGAAGCGTTCAACAATCGATATATGTGGATTTCTTAACGATAGTTTTAGTATTTTCGCTGACCATTTGCATATTTAGACTCGCGGTCACACTAGGCAGTCGGTCAAAATTCATCCGACTTTCGGCTAGCAAACATTTATGTCAAGTGCGCAACAATTTACTGTTTTTACTTACAACGAAATTAATTTTGAGGAACATTTTTAAGCCGTGCTGCCGAAATTTGTAGAAGACTGAAGAGGCTGAGTGCTGAATGTAGAAAAATTAGTAAAAACGAATATAGACTAAAATTCTAGTAAATAGTTCAAAACATGTTTAAATTAGCGCAAAAGTTATTGCCGCAGCAGCGTTTGCTACAACGTACTGCCTTGATGCGTAGATTTATATCAACCAGCGACGAAGTTAAATCTGTGGATACAATTGGCGGCTTGCCCACTGAATTGGTCAACGAGAAGAAACTGAAGAAGACAACGAGGTAAAAGCAAGACAAGAGAAAATGAAAACACTATTGTTTACGTTATGATGCTGCTGCTGCTGCGACCGCTAGGGGCGTGGCATACATGGAGTGAAAGTAGGCGGTCACGTAGGCCGCACAGCTGTTGCTGCAGTATTTTCAATCAACACATCATGTGCAGCAGTATTTTTCTGTTATTCTTGTATTAAGTTACGTTATTCATATTTTTTATTTTATTTTTATTTTTCACAGAACTTTATCTACGCTACAAAATCATTCGGTGCCAATTGCAGCGCGCGTCACAGTTTCAAAAGATGAAAGTCGCGACTTTATGGCCGTATTTCCAGGTTAGCATCAATTAGCATAATAATGCTAAACATTTGCATTTAAATTTTGTACTTGAATGATATTTTATTTATACTTTTTCAGATGTGGTCCGTGACCTAACGAATTACACAAAGGGGTTCAATTGCAGTGATGCTGTTAAATGGTTTGCCCAGGTCATGCAATACAATGTGCCCCGTGGCAAAAAGAATCGCGGCATCTTAACGGTGCTTACATATAAAAATCTAGTACCTGCCGAAGACCTAACACCCGAGAATATAAAACTAGCCCAATATTTGGGTTGGTGTGTCGAAATGGTAAGGACTCTAAATACTAAATACTAAAATAATGTTTGAAAAATTTCCATTCGTTGCAGCTGCAAAGTTTCTTCATTATGTCGGATGACGTGATGGACAATAGTATCACGCGTAGAGGTCAAAAGTGTTGGCATCGAGTGGAATCTGTTGGCCTGATAGCCATTAATGATGCCATCATGATAGAGAATGCCATGTATGCGATACTTAAACAACACTTTAGTCATTTGGATTGTTATGTGGCTTTAATGGAGCTGTTCCATGAAGTCACCTACATCACAACTTGTGGACAATCTCTCGATTTGCTTAACTCGAATAAAAGTGTATCAGAATTTACAATGGAGAACTATAAAGCAATTGTGGATAATAAGACCGCTCACTATTCCTTTTACCTGCCCTTCGCTCTAGCCATGCATTTAGCCGGGTATGAATTTGTCACTCCAATCAATAATATATATATAGTAACTTGATTTTCTTGCAGCTACAAAGATGCCGAAGCATTTAGACAGTCAAAGACGATTCTACTCGAAATGGGTCATTTTTTCCAGGTACAAGACGATTTTCTTGATTGCTTTGGCAATCCAGAAGTTACTGGCAAAGTGGGCACAGACATTCAGGACAACAAATGCTCCTGGCTCGCTGTGGTGGCCATGCAGCGTGCCAATGCAGAGCAAAAACAAATAATGATAGACAGCTATGGACAAAGTGGTATGAATACAGAAACTATTTCTCTATAGCGATATATATAAATTTATTTATATTGCATCCTTATAGATCCTCTCAAAGTAGAACGCGTTAAGGCTCTATACAAGGAGCTTAGCCTGCCCTCTACTTATGCCATATTTGAGGAGGAATCTTACAATATGATCAAAACTCACATACAGCAAACATCTCGAGGAGTGCCGCATCAAACATTCTTACAAATACTTAACAAAATCTATCAAAGAGACTCTTAAGCATTATACTATATACATATAGTATATATATGCACAATAGTTTTTAGACCCAATTGCCAGGGCAATTATAAATGCAATAAGTAAAACATAGAATTTTTTGAACTCACGAATTATGTTCTGCTTTTAATCATCATCATTCATCAAACAATCAATCAATCATCTGTAAAATCGAAGGGTGCAAAAAGTTTTCGAAAATCATCAACATTTGCCTTCTCCTCCTCATTATCAAGCAAACAATCCTTCCAATTCACTTTCTCATCACAATTTAACAAGTTCTCCGAACAAAAAACATCTCTATAAATATAATTAGAAAAGTATATAAATATGTTAATAAGCAAACAATTTCAAGTCCAGGCCACACACCTGGCAAAATGCAGCGGAAAATGTTTCATTTGTCGTGTAATTAGGGCGGTGTCATCGGGTAGTTCCGCTAGGAAATAAGGTCCCATTTCGGGAAGCATGTTAGATGAAGTCAAGGCAGGCAATGTTTCAAATTCTAGATTAAATTCCTCAGCTTTGTCCTGAAAGCGATAATATTATCGATCGAATATGTATGACTATATAAATAACATGTTAGCTTGCATAACTATATACTAATTTTGTAATAATATATTAATGTATTAGAAATCCCACCTCAAAACTATGTTTTATCTTCCACGCATAACCCTCCTCGAAACCCAAAACATCTATAATCAAATGTGAAGTCTTATAATGTCGCTCTGTAAAGCAAACAACTTGTCCCAGACTTTTGAAGAGTTTCCGCAAGGCTTGCTTAAATTTCAGCAATTCTTCCCAATCCTCTGAGCTCAGCTGAGCAGCACAGGGTATATGTTTGGTAGACAAGATCAAAACATGTTGACTATTTATAGGTCCCTTAGCCAAAGCCAAATAGAAACGTTCACCCACGGTGATAATCAAATGCTTTTCCACTTTCTCGGAGGACAGACAGAACCAGCAGTTATCTATAAGGAGATGTAAATTGTATAGTATTTATAATGATCTAGTGATCAGACTTACCTTGATCTATTTGCATGATCCTAGGTCGCTTATCACGTTTGTCCATTTCGTTGCGTCGCTTGCGATTCCCACTTGAGTCCATATCATAAAAATACTGACGACTTTCCGACTAAAATTTAAATATGATATATATATATATATATAAATATTGATTTAGTATATATATATAACATATATATTATAAGCTTTTACCGTCTCATTTTTGTTAATAACTCCATCCATGTTCAAGCCAATAAACGGACATTCAATTTCGTTTGTTGTCTTCTGCACCAGATCAAGCAAGCGCGCTTTGTCCACAGGCTTTAGGCTCAATGCATAAATATATTTTGCCTTATTTGCATTACCCACTTCGGCGAGCGATATGAATCTCGTACACAGCTCAAATTGCGTTGTCTCATCCTTGGGCATTCGAAAGGGCGGGCACTCGTAGTAGGTGCCATTGATAGCACAGAAATGATAGCGAGGCTTAATTTCACGGCACAGAAACGATATCAACTTGGATGCCTTTGACTGTGAGGTGTATAAGAAAAGAAATAATTTAGTTATCGTATATGCATCATTATGCATTTAGTTACATTCTCCTGCTCCTGCAAGCCATAGGGCCATTGTGAAGTTAAGAGCACATCGACGCCTCGATAGTCCGTGCCACAGTTCTTTGCAATCAAACAAGAGTTGCGCACAGCTTGTATATCGGCTTTGGTAAATTCATGCTCGCTGCATTTCGTTACACTGTCCGCTGCTGCTTCGACGCCACTTAAATAGGCGATCTTAACACCGCTACTCAGTGTATAAACTCCTCGCTTGCCCAAATATGTGAGATTTGTGCAGATTTCTCCATCCAACAAGTCATTGTAATATTTTGTATCCTCCTCCCTATTGGGCCCCAATATATACGTGGGCACAGTAACTGTGAATTACATATACATATCAAACACAAATCATATTTATAATTTACATCCGTTCTACTTACTGTGTTTAAAGCCATTTTTGTATGCAATCAATTCTTCGTTTTGCTTTTCGGCGCCAAAAAAATCGCCGACACAGCACAAAATCTCGAATGGTCCCGCTTTTTTGTTTACTTGCTCCACTCGGCTGAACAATTGCTTAAAACGACCACGCACATCGCCCACAACTAATCTGTAAAATAAATGTTATTAATTGCTGTCTTTACTTATTGTGAATGTTTATTTTCAGTTGTTTAAATACATTTTATTGTTCACATCCATCTGCTTGATTTGGGTTGTACCTTTTCTTATCGATATTTTCGGTTTCGATATCTTAACAGCAATCAGCTGATTGAACTTATGTTAATCGTTAACAGTAGTGTAGACTTCTGTTAGTTGAAGCTGTATTCCAAATAATCAGCATTTAAATTTAAGAATTATTCTTCTTAATGACCTACCAATTAAAATTATATAACTTGGACTACCACTACAAATATCATCGGCTTAAATGCACAACTCTGAACTGTAAATGGCTTCAACAGGCCTATTAAACGCAGATTGTCAAACAAAGTTGACCCCAATGACCGTTGAGCATTTAAATTCTGGGATTACCAATTATTATCAATAATCATGAGCATGTGTATTTTTTTTGGACAATTTCTCACCTTGAAACACATACATATATGTTAATAGCTAAATGCGGCAATTGTACTTCCTCTAAAATTACTTTTTAATTGGACAAGCGAGAAATGTATATTGAAAATTCATTTAATGGAACTTTTAAATTTTTTTCATCCACGATGTCAACGCTCCAAAATATGGTATTAGATATGACATTGGCACCAAATAGCAACGAATTGCAACAATGAACCTGCCCAGAGTTATTTGTTCTGCGTGGCTGGTTCTAATAGCTAGCTAGCCAGCGCTATTCATATAAAAGCGTTGTTAGTCTAAACTATTTTTGCAGTTTAACTTTAAGCATCATTCTAAACAGCAAGAGATATGTGGAATTTCAAATATAGTTTAGTTTTCATTTTACTGGGATGTGGAACAGTTGTATATGGTCAAACAATTGACTGTCAGAGACCGCCTCAGCTAGTGGTAAGTAAACTATTAAAGTTTTCTTGAATTTTCTACATTTTATGTGGAATTTAAGGATCCTGCACTATGCTGTCGAGATGGAGGACGCGATCAAATTGCCGAAAAATGTGCAGAGAAAGTTTTGGGCACAGTAAATGGACAGCAAAATAATGGACCCCCATCCATGGATGGCGCAACCGTAAGTATAAAAGAAACACAAATATATAGTTATATATTAAATATTTACAAATTTGTATATATACTTTTGTAAAAGTAATAAAAAGTAGTTTAAACACAAGTACAGGGCTGTCTGCAAAAACGGACTGCACTTTTGTTATCGATAATTAACTATCGCTTATCTCTTTCTATAGTGCCTGGCTGAATGCATTCTCACAACAGCCCAATACAAACAGGCCCCAAAAACTCTCAACTTGGAATTCATACGCAGCGATTTAACTTCCAAATTCTCAAATGATACGGTTTATGTGGAGGCTATGACTTCTGCGTTTGCAAAATGTGAGCCACAAGCTCAGCGGAGATTAGCAGCAATTCAACAATTTAATCCAAAGCAACCAAAATGCAGTCCATTTGCAGCTATTGTGCTTGGCTGCACATATATGGAATATTTTAAAAATTGTCCAGCTCACCGCTGGACACAGAGCGCAGAGTGTACACTTGCCAAGACATTTGTGACTCAATGCGGCTTGGGTGCTTAGTAAAAAAAGATTGCTTCATTTTATTTAGTTCAAATTTTGTTTACCTGTTATTTTTTTAAGTGTGTACATAATAAAGTTTTACATTTTACTAGACGATAGAAGTTTATTAATCGACTATTAATAACAGCACTTATCACGCAAAGCAATGACAATATTTTTCGATTTCCTAAAGTTTGCCTGCGTCTTAAAACATTTTGTGTATTATAGACAAATACATATTTATTAAATAATTTGTTAAAAAATCAGTTCAATTTTCGTTATTTTAAATTATCATAACCGTTTTAAGTGTGTACATAATAAATTTTATATATATTGCAAAATAGTTATATACAATCGATTTGCAACCCTATCTGTTACATGATAGTGTGAGTGCATAGCTGTGAATCTTCGCGGTCGCGGCGTTTAAAAACATTTAAAGTTAAATTAAGTGGAATATGAATTTTGAAGAACAGATGCAAGGATTTCGCGAGTGGGCTATTAGCGTAGGCTGTCCGCCCGCCGCCCTACCCAATGAGGACGCGCTTAAATCGTAAGCAAAGGTGATATTCAAATTAAAGTCGAACTGCCATTTTATTTTTCTATTTGCAGCATATTTAAATCGCGTCAAAATCAGCTATTTGTGCAAATGCAGTCCCGCATTCAACCGCGCCAGCGTGTCCAAGAGATGCGCGAGAATTTGCTGATTGCGCAGGTGGCACAGCACAAAGGAAAAGTGGTGCCAGCCTGTGGACGTAGTTTTCTGCCACGCCAACTGCAAGTGCATCTGAAAATGCAGGATTTGCTGAAGGAGAAAGAAAAGGAGAAGCTGTGCCTCGCAGAAGCTAAAAAGGAGTATGAAAGCTTGGCTGCCTCTATTAAAACTAAGAGTAAGATCAGCACCAGTTGCCGCTCAACAAGATTTTAATATATGGTTCTCAATCTCGCGCTTTTAGATATTCAAACAATTAGCGCAACACACAAACAGCAGCTGCATCAATCCAAATATTATTTACTTCAACTCAAATTGGAATCTCTAAACAAAACTTATGAACAGGAACTCTTGAACAAAGAACAAATTCTATCCACAATGCCGGTTAAACTAAATCAGAAGAATGCCAGCGAAAAGGTAGCATCAAAGGCCGTGGAGCAGGCTCTCAAGGAACTGGAACAGTTCTATAGAATCTGCAATACAGAAGGCAACAATGGCCAGCAACTGGCAGAAGCTAAGTATCATCTCTGGTCAAAGATGCGACAAACTTTTGCAAATATACCAAATGTTCTGCTCTTCAACGCGATCATGCGCATTAAGGAGGAGCAGCTGCAGCAAGTGATGCAACTGAACAAGAGCAGCCAAAACATTGAAACCATTAGCTCTCTGTCCAAGCCAATGCTGAATAGCTTTGATATTAAGTTGTTAAAAACAAAAGCCGAGCTGATGGGGCTGGTGGCCAAGTATCTGACAGCACTAAATGAAGTTGCGCAGCTGGAGGAGCGTTTCGCCGCCGCCTATAGCACATTTATGGACGAGCTGCAGAGGAAGGTGAATAATTTCAATGGCATCGGCAGCGATGAGCAAGATGAGAGCAGCGAGGAGATCATCTCTGAATTTATACTTCAGTACAATCTCCGAAATTTCAATCATGCACGCAACGAGTATCTCAGCGAACAGATTGAACAGCTGCGCGCGGAGTTAGAATCGGGCGTACGTCAATTGGAAAGCCACGAGCTGCTGCTCTGTTCCATTAAGCAAATCTATGGTGAAATCAGTACCTCAATCAATGGCATACGTCACGATATGATGCAGCTATCACAGATTAAAGAGAAAATCCTGTACTCCAAGAATATATTGAAGAATATGCTGGATGACATGCAGGCTACGACACATCAACAAAATGCCAAATCTCAGTTGTTTAGCAGCAAACTCAAAGTGGGCAACATGTCGTACCTGGGCATGGAGAGCTTCAGTCTGGCCAACGATAGCGTCTTCTCCAGCACAAAACTAGAGTTCGATGCGAGTCCAATGGAGTCAAAGTTTTGTCGCAGCTTTGATAATACAACAATTATGCCAGGCAATTGTACATCGACTCCCATGTTGCCGCCTCCCAGCAGCTCTCCCTCCACGTTGCCCTCTCACCTACTGGAGCTGAATACCTTTGCTGAAATGCCACTGGAGAAACTTAGCTGTGTGCCACGCAACTGGTAAGGCTTATACATATATGTAATGTATATACTGTAAGTACAGTGAAATCGGTTACTTTTTGAGTATATGATATAGAAAATATTGATTATATAATCATAATACTCTGTAGTCAAGTGAGATGTCTGCTTCTCTGTCCCTAGCGAAGAATTCACTGTATATATATGTACATATATAGCTAGTCTGTTATGATAATTGAATTTCCTTGTTCGCAGCGCCTTTTTGCTTTCGGCCAATCCGCTCATCGTGGAAACACAGGAGTTGGCCTCCACCATGCAATTGGCTCCTGGTCATTTGCTAACCCCCATTGGGGCTGTGCAGGAAGTACATAAACGCATTTTGTGGGCGTCAGCACTTGCTGCACACACATCCGATTTGAAATTGAATTTGAAGACGATAATTGGTAAGCTCGAAGCGCCCTTTCTCTTTTCTCTTAAAAAACTCCCTTTCATTTCAATTTCCATTTCCCATCTCGCTTTTCAGTTGATCCACACGATTTAAAACTGAAGGCACGCCGCCAACATGAGGAAATTGTTCAGCTACTCGATACTATCGAATCACTGGGCACTAAGACACAGCATCAGCTGCACAGGATCAAGCGCATCTATCGCTTCATAGTAGAGAATCCAATGCGTCTATATGTGCCGCCCGGCAACTGCTACCAGAATGCCAACTTTACGGCCTACGAATCCGAATTCAATCTATATTATCGCATGGCCACAGCGGGCGGCTCGATTAAGCCTTAATTATAAGAAATTTTTATAGTAACAGTATTTAAATAAACCCAGTGTGCTCTTAGCTTTAGCATTCTAGTTTCAATTCAATTAAATTTTTTTTTCATTTTACACATTTTTTTCACTTTATTTTATACTTTCTTTTCTCTTAGTTTTTAATACAAAAATTGTTTATTTACACCCAAATGGAAATTGGGTTAGAAAAGTATTAATTGGTTTTCGTTCTGTTGTTTTTCGCAATTTGTTTCTTTGTCTTTCGAAATGTTCAGTTAGATATATATCAAACTAATTACACATACATATATATATATAGAGCAGCACGAAAATACTTTATTATTTATTTAATAAAAAATAAAATATTTTCTTCTATGTAAACAAAGTGTGGAAAATTAAACAAAGTCGTATGTGATGTATAGAACGGGAATGTCTGGTATATATATATATATATAGATATATATATATATATATGTATATATCTTATTATAAGCTATAGTTATTTAAAAATATACAGAGACAGAAAAAACCGGACGGGATTTGTTTTTTTTTGGGATTCGAGTTGGATTTTTTGTGTTACTAAATTAGTTAAAAATGCGTGAGCTCTTTTAAAAACTTAAAGTTAACTTAAGATAAGATTGGACGTTTTATATAGACTGGAGAAAACATATAGATAAACAGAATTTCAAAAAAGGATTTTGCGACAGTGAAACTTCTACGGCTGATGTCTAAGTTTAGCTATATATACTTTCGATATATATATTTATTCGTATATTCGAGATGGATTAGATATGATTATGTGAAGCATCGTTGTTGGTTTTGGATTGGCTTATCTGGAGTAGAGCACTGCCAGCAAAATGCCCAGCAATGCCAACGAGGATGCGGATGCGGCAATATGTTCAGCTCCTCCATAGTACGCCTGGCCACAGGCTGGCGGGCAGACAGGTATGATCGTCTCGAACAGATTGACACGCGCCTCGGCATCGCCAAAACGGTTTGTCGCCTTGCACACATAATCGCCATATTGCCGCTTCTCGATCGTTATGACGCGCAGCGTCGAGTCGGTGTACTCATCGGCGGTGGCGAAGTGCGAGACTGTGTAATGCTGATTGTTGGCCAACTGGATGTCATCCTTGGTCCATACAATGGCTGGTGGGGGGTACGCTTCGATGTGGCACTCGAGATCCATGTCGTATTGCAGAGCCTGGCCGAGGCGTGGTCGGGGCACAGTTATGACAGGTGCGAATTCAACCTCCACGTTGATGTTGCGACGATCACCTTTGCTGACGCCGTTGTCGGCAACGCAGTAGTAGGTGCCACGATCTTCCTTCTTCACGGATTTGATGCGCAAAATGTTGCCAACATAAGTGGCGCTGTCTGTAATGCGAGAGAGGAAGAGAGAGAGGCATCATTAATAAAAGGTTCTCAAGAGAGAAATTAGAAAGAAAGAACGAGGGCAGTCATTAGCTTAAAGAATTCAAGTATTTAAAACTGATCAAAGTTGGAGTTGGGTGAGGTGGCAGAGGCAGTGATATAGAGAGGGAGAGTCATTCACAGAGGGTGTTCAAGTGTGTCGAGCCATCGAAATACAAGTTAAATGCTGCTTGCAGCGGCTTTTGTATTTGTGCACTCAAATCTGATTTTAATGAGGCGCCGCGTCGCATCCGCTGACTCCCAGATAGCGGGTGACCTTTTTTTGGAACTACCACGTCGAGTGTCTATATACATTATTTATATACAGAGCCATAACAATGGCCACGTTAATGACCTCTAACAAGCAGCAAACCATTTAGAGACACAGTCCACATTTTTGCGAAACTAACTTTTGTATTTGAAAAGCGCGCGCATACAGCAAGGGGGTGGAGCGAGAGGGAGGGGGCGGGGAGCGAGAGTTTTCTGCAGCAACTGAAGCATAAACGTGAATGGGAATGCGAATGCGAATGCAAAAGGTGCTCGCATTCATTCAGTTCATAACCGGAAGTTGAAAACGAGTGCAATGCGCTCTGTCGATTACCTGTGCAGCTACCAAAACACCCACCTGAAGCAGGGGCAGTGCGTGTGTTTAAGTGAGGTTAAAGTTAATGAGGGAGAGAACACGAATACACACGCATGTGTATGTTATAAAGTAATTATTAGATAACTTCAACTATATAAAGTATTTTAAAAATATTTAAAAATATTTTTGTTGCTCCTATCGATTGAATATAAATATATTTGTGCGTATATATATTTTTCAAAATTATCATTATTATTATTAGAATTACTTTTTCATTGTGATTGTCATTGTCATTATCATTGTTAATAGCTCTGTATTCCTGTTTCATTTACAAATCAAACGTGAAACACGCGCTCATCTCTAGCCTGCCCAGATGCGCGGCGCTTAAACCCATTTGGCTTTAACAATTGGCAGCAAGCACAACTATCAAAAGCTGAGCACACGGTGCGTTGACCGGGCCAACAGCGAGCAGCGAGCAATGGGGAGGGATTGGCTCGGAAATATGCCCTATGCAAAAAGCCAGAATATGCGGGCTAAAAGGGTCAGAGAGGGCGAGCCATATAAGTTATAAATGTGGATGATACATATAGGCGTCTGCTCATTCGACTGAAACATTTCAAATTAATTGCGCTGGGGAATCGAAGTAACGCATTTGATTAAAATTGAATTGACAGGCAAAAAGGAGGAAGAGAGAGAGAGAGAGTGTGTGAGAGAGAGAGAGAGTGTGAGAGAGAGAGCAAGGGGCAATGTCTGATGACAATTGAATCGCATAGCTAAGCTGAAATTTCAATTGAAATACTTTAGATGCAGATGCTCATGCAGATGCCGTTAGAGCTGCTGTTGCTCTGCTAGATGCGGGCAAAGGCAGCAACAGAAATTCATTTTGATATTGAACCAAACAGAAATAATCAAGTGTCGCTTGACTTCTGTTTAATTAGCCCGAAACGAATCAGTTTGTGTAGACAGTTGGCCAGTTGAATACCCTGTACAAACACTCAAAGTAGTCTGTACTCTAATACATATTCAAACTAATAGACACTAGAATATACAGTTTATATGTGCATCTATAGATTCCTAAGTTATAGACTCTCTGTTCAGCACATTTGTCACATTTATAGGGTATACTAACACAACATCATTTAAAGCTTGTTTTATATTAAAGTTATAATTTAAGTCAGTTTCACTTTAAGCTTTTACAGGCTATATTTGCCTTGTTTCTATAATGCTTTACAAGTTTGTTTCCCAACTAATTACTCTAGCATGTTTTTCCCATTTACAGGGTATATTAGATGTACTTGATTGTTGCTGTAATACTTTACAAGCTAACATTAATAAATTGCTTCTTATTACAGCCTACACTTCCACTTAAATGCCTCAATCGAGCAAGTTTTTCGCTTTTACAGGGTATTTTTGATATACAATTTTGTTGAAATAAAATAATTTTAACTATATAAGCTTGCTTTACAAAGCTATATTTGTATTCCCTTAATACATTTCTGCTTCCAGCGCTCTATGCTGCGCATACCCCACATTTACAGGGTATATTTGAAATATATATATATTTTAAATATAATTTCTACAAGCGCTCTTCTTATTCCCTTTCAAAAAGTTATACTGCTCCGCTTTTTATCATCACGCATTTCGGACATTTACAGGGTATACGTCATATTTCATTGTTGCCTTTGTTTTGGCTGAACGTGTCATTGGAAGAATACCAAGTGCAAGAGCGTGACCGACCGTGTCCCAGTCACAGGTTGAGCTAAACGCAGCTGCCATAACGCAATTCCCAATTCCGTATACCCGTATACCCATGGCCCCCCACTCCTGCCCGGTTGACAAATTGTTTCGAGTCAAGTTGAGTGTGAAATTCGTGAACATGTGTTTCGTTGCATGAAATGAGATGCAGGTCAGGTCGAACATGACGCTATATGTTAACCGTTAGTCGAGAAACTAAGCGATCTGCTAAAAGAAAATCTTTCTACAAAGTCGTTTAGCGAAGCTACAAAGTTTTTTTTAGGGCGTAACAAAAAAAAAAAACAATTATAAAAAAAACCAAAAAAAAATTAGAAAAAAAACGCAGAAAAAAACATTTAATTAGCTATTAAATATGCAATACAAGAAGCGAGTCTCAGCTTTCTATTGTCGCAATGTAGAGAGAGAGAGAGAGAGAGAGAGAGAGAGAGAGCGAGAGAGAGGGACAGATAGTCAGAGGGCCAGTGCTAGAAAGAGAGTTCTTTGCTGCTGAGTTCATGTTTGTAATTAAAGTCAAGAACTTGGCGCAAATGTTGACATTTTGGGTTAAATTTATTAAGCGAAGCGAGAAAAGCTGAGCAGCAGAAAATAAAGAAAACTCATTCATAATTGCCAGATGAATATTCAGGGAGTGTGTTTGAATAGTATGAATATCTTTTACCATTATTCCCTTTGCCTGCTATGAAGTGACGTTAATTAGGCTTAATACGGCATAGGGCACGGATCATATATCAAAACTGCAGGATAAATAATGCACTCAAAATATTGTGTACCCTGTGCCTGCTGTGACTTGCCTAATTACGATTTGCAGGCCATATATCATTTCGTAAACAAGGCGCTCTTCAAGTCACAAATATCCAATTACCCTTACATAGAAGCTAGGAACTATTGTAATTATACGCAGAGCTCATATATCATTTGAGACGGACAGACTGAGGAACTTAATGAATTTGTTGGTATTGCTTGTAATTTATAGAATCATATGATATATATATATAAATATATAGAAAATATTTGATAGTTTAATGCAATATAACTAACAGTTCTTTGGGGAAAATTTCTATAAATCAGTTTCCTAAAGAAGCTTTAATAGTTTTAACAGAGTCTTAACTCTAAAAACAAAGTTAAGAACAGCTCAAACAGTTTGAGGAAACTTTTACTAAATTATATCATAAATTGTTAGCATATATCAAATATTATATTAGTTATATATACATTCTGTATATACATCTCTAGAATAAGTTTTTATTCTTCATATTTAAATTCGCATTTCCTTCACTTTTATTCCACTCCACAACACTTTGAATG